GTTTCTGAAGTGACCGATACATCAACTGTCACTCTAATAACTATCCGAGGTGAAACTGTTGGCAGTGAAATAATTTCAATTAATGAAAATCTTATATCTCTCCCAGAAAAATCTGAATTCCTCCAGGATATTAATCACACTGCTAATACTTCTCCTGTATATACGATCAATGATTTTTTGGACTTAAATAATATTTCAGGATTGAATCCTGAAAATGATACCGAAAGTTACACAGACAATATTTCTCAAGAAAGCTTACCCGATGAATACTATGTTCAGAACCATAATGAACATTCTGATTCAGATACAGCCACTAGTTCGTTTAATGAGTTGTCCGATGAATATTTGTCTGATGATTTAGTAAATGATCACAATATTGTTCAAAATCAAGAAAATATTAATAGAAATGACCCAAATAATTTTAACATTACAGAAGGGCGCAAAAGACGACGACAGGCTGATTCCAGTCATTGGTAACGTAATATTAATAAGCAGTTGAGAATGGAAGGCAAACCTTATGTTGGATTTGCCAAGGGTGAAAATCAAAAGTCCAAACAGAAAGAAAGACAATCAGTAGGAAGACCACGCAAATGATGGAATGACAACTTACTGGAGGCACATTGAAAAACAGACAAAGTCATGTCTATATAAAAAGAAGAAGAAGAAGAAGACTAATACACAAGATAAGACAATTAGGCTGCAAAAATAATGCAGCCAAACACTCCAAAAAACGTCAAAACTATATGCTATCAGATAATTAAGCATTATGAGGACACATGAAGCAACTTAGATAACAAAGGTAAGCGCCCGGGTCGTCTAAAACTAGTTTCTGATAGGAATTTGAGAATATTAGTCAAAGTTTGCAAACAAGGTCGAAGAAATACTCTAAGGCAAGATACAACTGAATGGAATCCTGAAACTGGATTAAATATATCAAGCGAATGCTGCTTGAAGTAGAAACATAAATCTGGATTAAAGTTTTATCACATTGAATTACAGGTAACAAATTAAAAGAAAAGTGTACTACTAGTTGGTAGGAAAAGCCATTGTTAACAGCAAAACAAAAGTAAGCCAGGCTTATTATTATGGAATATGTAAGAGTGATACACGCTCAAAACCATTTAAAGAGAATACATATATATTATTTTATAAATTTTCTTAAAAACGAAACACATTCAGAAGGAAACATGGGTAGACTACTTTCGATCCCTATTTGCTAAAGGTGACGATAATGAACCACCAACACCAGAGGTGACGACAAACGAAGAAATAAATATTGAGGAGGAATAGGTAAAGGGAGCATTAAGGAAATTAAAAAATATAAAATCACCAGGAGAGGACAGAATACCGAACAAACTCCTAGAGTACGAAGGACCAGATCTGACTAAACAACTATTAAAACTAATCCAAAAAAATATTAGAACACAACAGAATTCCTCAAGAATGGAGATCAAGCATCCTAATATATCTCTTCAAAAAAGGAGACAAATAGGACCCGGAAAATACAGAGGAATTAATTTATTAAACAGAACATTAAAATTAACAACCAAAGTGATAACAAATAAATTGAATGAAATTATAAGACTAACAGAAGAACAACAAGGTTTCAGATCGGCAAGATCAAGCGCTGGCGCTATATTTATAATGAGGCAAGTGCAAGAGAAATCATTAGAATACAACAAACCGGCATATCTAAGTTTCGTGGACCTTAAGAAGGCATTTGATCGGGTTGAATTAAAGGACGTTATCCAATTATTGTACGTAAGAGGGACACCCTAGGAATAATCAAAAATATCTACCAAAACAACACAATAAAAGTAACAGTAAGAACTAACCGACCCTATTGAAGCTGGCAATGGGATCAAACAGGGAGATTCCTTGAGTCCTCTATTGTTCAACCTGATTATAAATGAAATAATAAAAAAAGTAAGAAGTAAACAAGGATACCAAATGGGAGAAAAACAACTTAAAATAATCTGCTATGCAGACGACGCAATACTACTCTCTCAAAGTGAAGATGATTTGCAATGTATGCTGCACCAATTTAATATAACCGCCAGAAAATTTAACATGTTAATTTCCCCAAAAAAGACAAAATGCATGGTTATAACAGCAAATTTACTTGAAGCTGGAAGGTCAGATAATAGAACAAGTGATGGAGTTTAAATATCTAGGCATCACATTATCTATTTAGGCAGCCTATTACTTACTTACTAGACAACGCCCACCCTTGGCATGTTAGCCATTTGGTGGCGCGCTGACCAGTATAGACGAGCCGTTTCTCGTAGGCGATCTTCATCCTCCTCGGGTGGGTCTGTTTTCAGGGCTGGGCACTCTGGAAGGTGAGCAGCATCCATCTGGGGCTGATCACATAGTGGACAGTTGTCATTTTCGCGGACGCCGATGCGATGTAGATGGGAGGCCAGGTAGTCATGCCCCGTAGTTGTTCTGAACACGGCTACACTAATGGGTCTCGGCAAGTTGCGAGGGATTGGTGACTCTATTAGGTGGGCCCAAGATTTTCCAGCACCGGCTTGTATTTGCTGCTCTTTTATCTTCGCTTTGATTCCTCTTCTAATGGTGGACTTTGCTGATGTGTACGATTGGAAGCTAGGGGGCTGTGGAAGAGTAGTGCCTTCTTTTGCAAGTTCATCCGCCGCTTCATTTCCTTCAACACCGACATGACTAGGGATCCATTGTAGAGTAATCAGCCACCCTTTTTCCATCAAGTTCGATAGTTGGACGCGGCAAGATATTGTTTTGGCACAGTCAGTGTATCGATTTGTCGACAGGGCGAGGATTGCGGCTTGGCAGTCGATGAAGAAGGCAACTTTTTGGGGGTGTTGGAAATTCTCAAGATTTTTTGCAGCTTCGTGTATAGCAGCAATTTCGCCGTCGTAGTTGGTGAGAGGGGCACCCACAGCTATAGAGCCTTTGAAGAACGTTGAGACATATCCTGCTCCTGTTCTTCCCGAGTCCGGCATCGAGGATCCATCGCAGTAGATGTGGAGCCACTCATGTGCTGGGTACTTGGTGTGTATCGTCTCTAGGGCGGCTTTCCTTAGGGCAATGTCTGACGATAAGTGCTTCGGGTCGTTATGGTTTTCAAGCAGTAATTCTGTGTTTGGTAGACAGCGGGCCAGTGTGGTTTGCGCTGGGAAGGGGGCGGCTTCCGACAGGACAATGTGGTATTTTTCCATGATTTGGTTTGCTACTGTAAGCGGAGTGGTTTGTGTTTTAAGACGTGAGGCTGCTTGTCTATATTCGTCCCATTTTTGTGGAAGTATTCGTCTTTGCCTTTCCCAGAAGGTTAACGCGTGTTGCTCTCTGCGGCATTGTATTGGTTCAATACCGGTCTGGGCTTCCATTGATGTAATCGGTGTTGATTTTGGAGCACCGGTGATGACGCGAAGGGCAGTGTTCTGGGCGACTTCAAGCTTGGAGGTGGTGTTTGTACTCGCAGTTATTGTAGCTTCACTCCCATATTCTAATATCGGCCGGACATAGGTTTTGTATGTTGCTACCAGGACATCTTGCGTGGCGCCCCACTTTGTTGCTGTGAGACGTTTGAGCAGTCGACATCTCTTTGTGGCTTTCTCTGCAATGTCGTCGATTTGAGGTTTCCACGTCATTTTCTTATCTATGTACACCCCCAAGTATTTTGTTACGTCCTGTCTTTCCAGATCAACTCCTTTATACGTCAGCTTGACAGCAGTCTGTTTTGTTGAAAGGCTAAGTACTTGATATACGGTTTTGGTTGTATTGACTGTTAGGCAGTTTTTATCCGCCCATTTTTCTAGATTTTTCAGAGCCTGGTTCATTACTCCCTCAAGCGCTCTCAGACTGCTACTTGATGCCCATATTAGGAGGTCATCAGCATACAGGAGGGCTTCCACACCAGTTGTCTTTCTAATCATTTCGAGCACATCGTTTATCATTAAGTTGAACAATTGACAGCTGATGACAGCTCCTTGTGGCAGCCCTTGTCTTTGCAGTCTGAATTTGGAACAGTGGTTGTGAAATTTGACTCTCTGATACCTTTCCCCGAGAAAGGATTTTATCCAATTAAATAGTTTGCCGTTAACTCCGGACTTCGCTATCTTGTGTAACAGCAAACCTCTCCATACTGTGTCGTATACAGCTTTGAGGTCTACTAGCACTGCTACTGTTGACATCTTACGGTGGAAAGCATCCTTGACTTTTTGGGCAAAATCGACTACATGGTCCATGGTGTTCCTGTGTTTCCTGAAGCCAGCTTGAGCGTCGTCAATCAATTCAAGATGAGTTAAGGCTCGGTCGCAGGCTGCCTAAATTAAACAATATCGAAAAATAAAAATATCGGGAAAGAAACGAAATGCGGAATTTACAAATCATCAGACCAATAATGACATACGCGGCAGAAACACGACGTGACACAGAGAGGATAAAAAGGATGTTGGAAACAGCAGAGATGAAAACACAGCACAGAAAAACTGATGGTAAGAAACTATGGGACAGAGTCAAGAACTGGGTAAGAAATAGAAGAGTAGAACGGAACGATCATATAAGCCGAATGACAACAAATAGAGTAGTAAAGACTGCAAGAGACAGTTTCCCAATAGAGAGACGATCAGTAGGAACACCACGAAAACGATGGAACGACAACTTACTGTAGGCACATCGAAAAACAGACAGTCATGTCTACATAAAAAGAAGGAGAAGAAAGTTTCTAAAACCTTTATTTCCTTATAAGCAATGTTATTTCTTTATTGAATAAAAATATGTATTTAATAAATATTTATTTATATATTTATAAACATGACTTATAATATATATTACCTATACGTCATTGTCAAATCTGTCTGTAGGAAAAATATGGCGGCTGAAAAGTCCTATTGATTATGCGTTAAAGGTCAACAAAATAAGGTCGCAGTCTTTAAAAAATACTGACAGAGACCCAAGAACAAACGTATAAAAGAAAATCTTTAAAAAACTATGTATATTAAAAAAAATGTACTTACAGCTTTCGTATCTTGTTCCCAAATCATTAACCAAAAATGACTATACGTATTACTTAAAGGCCCTTGTGTAAGTATATAGTGCCTATTTGCTCTTTCAACCTTAACAAGGTTAGCATTGATATAATCTGTCGAACCTCTGGTTAACACTATTCTGCTATGATCGTATGGGTTTACATCTCTATACCTGTTTAAAATTTTATTTTGTGGTTTGGTAGCTTCTGAACACATATTGTCTTTATAGCTTTGGGACCGAATTTTCTAGAACAAAAAAATTTATTACAGAATTGGAAATCAATATTAGCATAAATTACAAAATTCTGATGTGGAGGCATTTTTTTATATATAAAAAATCAACTTTCGAATACAAAATCTGAACCAAACGTATTTATTAGCACCGTCCAAATTATATTAAATATTTATACAGTACAATTCCTCTTAACTGGTCACCTCGAGCTGCATACCTGGCCGGTTGATACTTTAGCCGGTTAATCCGACGGGTACTTACAATAATGTATAACATAATAACATGTTCATTATGTGAATATATAGATCACATTATTTTATTGACCATACAACACAAAGGCAATCGCTGTGACATGTTACACGTTTCCACTTCTATATTCATTTCACAGTAGGTACGAATTGTCGTCATTGTCACATTGACATTAAAAATTCAAAAGAAGTTCTGAAAGAATAAACAAATAATTAATAAAATGCCTATTACGTTGTATACCGCCCAAGAAAAAGTGCAACTTGTAAAATAGTACTTTCAGGGTCATTCGATACGCGAAGTAAATTGATTTATTTATTGTTGTTACACAAAGTTACAACAGTTAAATATAATATTTTCAAACTTCGGGATATGTAAACAGTTGTCAAAAGTCTCATGAAGGTAATGAACCACGTCTTAGACGTGTCGATGAAGAGCGACAAAACAGGGATATTGATATTTGTTCTTTTGTGGAAGCTAGTGAACCCTGCAATAGTGTACAAATTGCTAGAGAAGTTAACGTAAATGCTTAAACTGTCCAGCGAGTTCTCAAAAGGAATGGGGATCACTGTTTTAAGATACAACCAACGCAAGAACTGTTTCCGGAAGATAACTTTAGGCAGATGGAGTTTTGTGAATTTATGTTAGATAAACAGAACGAAAATGTACACTTCTTAAAAAATATTTTATTTTCTGACGAATCTTCATCATTGACGAATCATTCAGAATTTTCGACTTACGATAATTCTAGTGAAATATTTATTTTCAAATTAAATGGTATTTTTGACTTTACCGGCTTAAAAGAATTTTGGTAAGATATTGGTAAGCTATTTCCGATTTAATAACTTAAAAGAATCTGTATTATCTGGTTATTTCTTTTAGGATTTTTTAAACGAACTTAGAATAATTTTCTTATTTGATTTATTTGGTATTTTCAGGGAATTTTAAGTTAGCAAATTGCGTAAATTATTGTTATTTTATTTTCTCTTTCAGATTCTCTAAGTTCCTGAACGGAACTTGAAAGAATTTTTATATTTTTATAATATTTCTTTTAGCAACTTAGGATAATTTCTGACAAATTATTTCTTTTTCTTTAGGAACTTTGCAATTTTTTCGGATGTAAAATAACTAAAGATTTTTTTATATTTATTCTCTTTCAGGGACTTTGAAATATTTCTAATATTTTTTCTTCAAAACGTCAAACAATTATGACATTACTTATCTAACTTGATCCTGTCAAAGTTTGATGTCTCCGCCGGCAGCAGTTTTTTGCCCATTTCTTTACGGCGGAGCGAAAAATGTTGTCATGGCAACAATATAAAACATATCACAAAGCAACAATACAAATGTCATTAACAACAATTAAACATCATTTTTATTTATAGTAATATTAAAAGTACAATTAGTTAATGAGGCATTTTCAAAATTAAAACCGTGAAAAAAATGTTCCCGACTCTTGATACGCATTGGTAATTGTTGATGATACTGATGGTCGAGAACAACTTTCAGCAATCATTCCCGATGTTGACGAATCATGAGGGTTTAAAATTTTTTGAGCATTATCGTTCTTATTTCTTATTGAATCCTCTATATATCCTTCGGCAACCGTGCTTGATTTCCAGCCCCCATGTCGTTTGAGGCATTCTAGATTTCCGCCTCCATCAATTAAAAGTGTTGCTGAAGTTCGTCGTAAAGAGTGACCCCGTGTATACGCTTGCATCGTTTAAATTTAAATAACTAGCTACTTTTTGGGCTACTGCGCTGATCGAATGTATTCCCATGACGCTTCGGTAACACTTTCCATTTTGGTACTTGATAAAAAATCGGTTTTCTTTTCTTTATTCTCAATGTCCACAGCCTTCATTTTTACCATTTCGTCGCATCGACAGGCGCCGGTAACACCAATTAACAAAACAATCTGAAATATTTTTATAATTTAGTAGAGTATACTACATGCTTTGCAATATATTTTTTTTACCTTTAATCCTAAATACAACTTATCTGGCGCTTCAAACAAAAATTTATCAAACTCGTCTTTAGTGAAAACTTTACGACTTCTTTGCAGTATATCATTCGTTTGTTTTTTTCATAAAGGCACGTAACTTTAAAAATTTGCTTATATTCACATTGTTCTAATAACTAACTCGGATTTTATCATAGAGTATCGTGACCACATTGTAGAAGATTTCCATTTATTTTCATTTTCCATTATATTAAAATATGCCAGTAAAACGGCTTCGGTAACTTGCCGTACTCCTCTTGTATCGCACCACTCTTGGAAGTGCTTGTACGCTAACCGATACTTTATTCCGGACTTGAAGGGCCTCAAACGTGCTACTGCATCATTAGCCGCGGACTCAATTTCGTTTAGGTTTTCCATTTTCGCACTAAATTTGCGCTTGCGGTTGCAACAACAATAAGCTGTCTTTAATAATTGCAAACAACTGTCAAACAACTGTAACCAGGGAGACGCAAATCCCACCGACGACTTAATTATTTTAATTTCTAACATCTAGACGACTTTGATAGTTGTCACAGTTAATTTCGAGTAAAAATAGCGTATGAATTGTACTATTTATGGTTGAAAATTGCTACATTTGAAGAACAAATAGTATACTTTATTCGGCAAAGAAGCGACTTTTCTTGACTTGCCCTCTATTAAGCGCCTCACTTCAAAAGTCATGCTTCTCCGCCTCATAAAGTCATATACTATTATTTCTCTTTATTTATTTATTTTCGTTATTCTCTTTGTTTTCTTCATTTCTCTTTATTTGACTTTGAAATATTTTCAGGTCGAAAATAACTTTTTAAATTTATTTTAAAAAGGTATTTCCCTCTAGCTCCGATCTATTTCAGCTATGGATAGTGCGACTGGACCACCTTCCCTCATTCCCGAGGGTTCAGGCCAGCGACATGATTTTGTGCAGTGGTATATGTTTCAGACGGTGATGTATCTGAAATTTGTATCACCCTACATTTAATTTGTTTAACTAAGTTTAATTTTATAGAATGTTTATGGCAGGACATATAATTTAAATAGCTCCCTGATGCCATGGATTTTCTGTACCAGTTTACCAATATTTTGTTTTGATTTGAACGAATCAACTTTATGTCCAAAAAGAGAACAGATTATGATTCGTGATTGTGTGATAATTACGTTTCTTAATTGTTATACAAAAATCATCTGTAAATTAAAAAAAAAATCTAACTTTTTACCAAACTGTCGTGGAACAACTTTTTTTTAATTCGTGTAATTTAAGCTTAATTATGAAATTGAGCTTAATTCAATTCAATTGAAAAAATATTACATCTACGAGCTGCAGTTTAAAAATTACACTGATGTTTATAAATTAAAAATGACAGTAATTTTGCAAAAGCATTTTTCGATAATAAAAATTAATTTTTTTTGTACATATTACACACAATTATTATAAGTCCATTATTTTTAACTTACGATATTTAAAAAAAAAGGATCTTTCACAATTAGATTAACTTTTCAACTAATTGATGGACCGATCTGAAATTTTGGGGGTTCGTTAACCATCACAAAACACTTTTATTTTGCCGCAAAGGTGGTTTGTGCAAGGCTTATAAATAATTAATGATTTTGCCTTATTTTGCTGTTTTCGGAGCAATAAATTTTAAACCATTTGAAGCTTTTCCAATATTTAAAGAGATAAAATTTTATTTCAATTACCTATACCTTTTAAAATGGTAAGAAAAAAATTGAAAAACTGCATTTTTCTAGGTTTTCTTGATATAGATATATATTAAATAAAAATTTGTCAGAAACTTGGATAATCCAGTCCTGAGAAAAGCTTATTTCACTGAGCTATTTTGCACGAATATTATTATGTTTGTTAGAAATTTTCGTATTAAATATTACCGCCGAATGATATCCCATGATTTAATTATTCATAGATAATCGCGAAATACTTAACAGGAAATAAATGACGGTATGCATGATAATACAATTAATGTATCAAAGTATCTAAACTATTTTCATTAGAATATAAAGTGAACAGTATACGAGTAGATTTCATAATCTTAAAAACGTATTTACAAAGACGTATGTTTTTAATGAAGGTTTCGTAAATTACTAGTAAAAATTCCAACTAAAAACGAAATCCGTTGAAACTTTATAAACGTCACATCTTTATTAATTTATATTTAAATATTTATTTTATTTTAGTTTCTTTATTAATGTATTAATTCCTTAACCTTCAGTTTCTATTTTTACTATTTTTTCTTCAAAAAATAGTTGGCGCCCTCTCTCTTTCTGTCCGGTAGAATAAAATATTCTGTTCTATTTTGACAGAAGAGCTAATTTCATCAAAGACATATGTTTTTATGGCATCTGTGCTATACTTCATTGTAGTCACTCCCCACTATTTTAGTCAATCAACCTTTCTAACGTGGTGGGATAACTAATTTTAATAATTCTATTAAACTTTATAGGCGAGCGGTTTACCTCTCAAAAGACGCTTAGAAACAGAATATACCTACTAAATTTTTTTTGCATTTCTAATGCACCAAACCTTTTTTATTCGATTCTATATATTTTTCCAAGATGAAATGTATTTTTTTTTTAAATTTTCACAAATGGGCCGGCAATTGTTATTAAATACACAAAAGCAATTTCACCTAATTGCTTCGGAATCAATTTTTTTAGGTGTATCTCATCAAAATAAACAATTTTTCTCTCTTGATAATTTTTCGAAAAATGCTTCCTTTTCGAGTTATTTGCATTTTTTGTTGAAAAAATGCCTTAATTAGTGATTTTTGGGATTTTTTTCTAAAAAACTACTAAATGAATTGCAATTCTACAAATAGCTTTATAATCTTTAAACCGTCGAGTACAAGTTAGAATATTTTGACAAGGATAATTTTTCTCTATCTTGCTAAAAACGTGGACCCAAATATTTCGAATATGCCTTTCGAGCAGTCTACCGCTAAGTGTGTACAGCGGTTGCGGCGATACAGGCGTGTGGCGCGTAGAAATATTTGTTTAGATTTAAAAAATTAATTTAATACAAATATTACGTACAATTTATTAAAAAAAAAAAAGATATTTACAATTAGTTTTATATAGACATATTATAATTAAAACAATTAAAATTAATTTTTTACAATGCTATAATAATGTAATTTTTCTTTTAATATACGTGGTGACTCTATTATTGAATGTTTTATTACAGTGAAATACATTAAGCAATATATAATCAATTTTCATTGAAAAATATAATAAAATAAAAATATAATATTATTTATACATCGTTTTCATTGTCAATAATTTGAAAATTTTCGTCAACAGCAACAGGATTTCCATCTATTAAGCTGATTTCATTGTCTTCAATAAAGTCGTCTTTAACATTTTTACAATTCTCTGGTGTACATGTACATACTGCACAGCATTCTAAATTATAGAAAATACAATTACAATTTTTCGTAGAACATTTTCCGGTACATGAGCAGAAATACTTTTGTAAAATATCTAAACTAGTTTAAACAAACAAACAAAATAATTAAAATCGAAACAATTATTTTCCATTGTCCAACCATGGGTTAATGGATTAAGAGATGAAATAATATTGTTTTTTGCTTGAATCCATTCATTTATTTGCCACTTTGCTCTTAAGTAATGTTGTAATAATGCTGGTTGCGAAGGTGGTAATTTTTCATTAGATGCATTTTTTTAATGCAATATTATATCTTAATTCATTTATGGATTCATGATATTTTTAAACGTATTTTGAGGGTCATACAGTTTAGATAAAAATGGAGTCAAAACTGTACGTCCTTCATCTAAAAGTAAAGTAGGCAAATTTCTTAATTTTTCCAATTGACTATCAGTTAATTTCTGCAAAGCTTTATAAGCCTTCTTTTTCCCATATCATAAAATGAACTTGTGGTATCACAACCTGTTATAGAATGCATTATTAGGATACTGTTGCACATTATTTTTCCAATTTCTTTTGCAATTTGATGTACAGGTATATATCGAGAACGATCAACATTTTTTACAATATTTCCTGTGTGAAACCATATAAGTGGTTTACTGGTAAAATCATGATAATGAGATAAAAGTAAAATAAATATATCTGTGTCTGGTGATTTAAAAATAATTTGAATTTTTTTATCCAAATGTTGCTGTTGTAATTTAAAATTACGCAACATGTATTTGCAAACCCTTACATGTATTTTCAATGTACCCTTACCATAGTCACGCACATCGTTGGCGCTAATTTAGAATTATCTAAGAAATTTGTGGTGAAATGTAGAATATTTAGTAAGTAACCCAGTATTTACTTACCCACGTAGTAATAAATAAAATTAAAATTTCATTTAATCAATTATCAGATATTTTTCATATATATATATATATATATATATATAATATATATATATATATATATATATATATATATATATATATATATATATATATATATTACATTATTAAAAAAGTCGAAAAGATTCGAGCACCTACAGCACCTCAACCGTTGTACACGCTTATCGGGATACTCTCGAAAGGCATATTCGAAATATTTGGGTCCACGTTTTTAGCAAGATAGAAACAAATTATCCTTGTCAAAATATTCCAACTTATACTCGACGGTTTAAAGATTATAAAGCTATTTGTAAAATTAGAATTCATTTAGTAGTTTTTTAGAAAAAAATCCCAAAAATCACTAATTAAGGCATTTTTTCAACAAAAAAAATGCAAATAACTTGAAAAGGAAGCATTTTTTCGAAAAATTATCAGGAGAGAAAAAGTGTTTATTTTGATGAGATACACCTAAAAAATTGATTCTGTTCAAAATAACAAACTGTTTGTATTTTGAGAACGATTTCCGAAGTAAAAATTGAAACGTCAATAAACGTATTTTTATCTTTAATTGTGGCTTATTCCCAGTTAAATAGTAATTTATTTACAATGCCAAAAGAAAATAGCTTCAGAACAATATTAGGAAATTTTATCTCAGGAATTACTCAAATCGCCCATCGCGAAAAATTTTTATGTAAAAAGTACTTGACAAGAAAAGGTAATAACTATATATTATAAAATATATATAAAGGTAAAGGTAATAAAGGCGATAAAGGTAATAATTAAAAACGCGTCCTCTATCACTTATGGTTAGGCGGCAAATGCAAGTTAACTTTAAGCAGTAACAAATAAACCAATTGCATTTTTTTTTATTTTGAAATTGATAGGTGGAAAACTCGAAGTTATTCTATTTATTTAAAAGCCAAAAAATTGTTTATTTTTTAAAAATTTGTATTATGCAAAAACTATTACACCGATCCTAACGAAATTTAGCACACATTTCAGTTGTAACGTATTTTTATTGTTTAAAAAATAGCAATAATTGGAAAAAATAGAAAAAAATCCACTTTTCGCATTTTTTCCCAATTATTGCTATTTTTTAAACAATAAAAATTAAATTTTCAATTTCTAGGTAGTCAAATATTATATACAATTAAAAAACGAAACTTTTACTTTCTAAACTCCTGGACAAAATGAACGCACTACTTTAATTAATCTAAATATTTACAATATAAACACAAAATAAAACTAAGTTACATTGAAATAATAATAAACACCTACAAATAAGTCTAACGTGACTTTATCATGACCTTAATTTGCCTTATTGTTCCATTAAAAATTTGTTTTTGTCGGAAATGCGTAAATAAGCTAGAATAACTCCAAATTGCAAAAAGAAAAAAATCAGTAAAGTAACACAATAAAATGCATCTGGATCAACACTAATACCGTGTTGATCCAGCCCTCCTCTACTTATTATGACCGCATTTATGCGTCGAGGCATGCTTAATATCAAATTATCAACAACATTTAGCGGAATATTCTGCCATTCTTCAATAACGGTCTCAATGAGTTGGTTGTCATTAGCAATAGGGGGTCTAAGACTTCAAATCTTTTTTTTTGAGATCCCATAGATGATATATAGGATTCATGTCCGTACTGTTAGGTGGCCACTCTAATAATGGAATATCACCATCATTTAGGTAGCCAATAACCTGTCGAGCCACATGAGGACGAGCGTTGTCTTGCATGAATAAAAAATTAGGTCAAAGAAACGGAGCAAAAGGCATTAGATGTTCGACAATAATGTTGTCTAAGTAATAGACCAGTTGTAAGGCATTCATAGACCTCGAACGTATAGGGAACAACTCCGTACGAGCATCAAAACAAATTCCCCCCAAAACATTTTAGAGCCACCACCAAAAGCTACTTTAGGGGAGATGTTGCAGTTGGCAAACCTTTCTCCTCGTCTTCGCCAGACACGCTCACGACCATCTGGAGCTTTTAGGCTTACTCTAGTCTCATCAGAAAAAAGAACTGGTTTACAATCATCGATGGTCCAATTTTGATGCAATCTTGGAAAATTCAATCTCTGAACCCTGTGTTCTCTGGTAAGCAAGGGTTTTTTGCCGGTTTCCTGTTGCTCAATTCTGCTTCATGTAAACGTCTTCTAACTGTTCGAGGCGATATTCGAACATCTGCTAGTTCATTTTTTACGTTGAACACGTCTCAAAAAACGATCATCAATTTGATTAATGCAACGTTTTCGCCCTTGCCCTGGTCTTCGATGGTACGACCCTGTTTCATTATACCGCCTCACCTTGCGACTGATGCTGGAATGATATCTTCCTAACAAACCTGCAACGTATCGCATTGAATATCCTTTATCTAGGAGAGTCGATGCTCGCACTGCCTCCTCCATTGACAAATTTCTTTGGCGGTTCAATTTTTTATTTGATTTTTATGCAAATGAACTTCCAAACATGCTTTTTCTTCTTCTTCTTCTTAGGGTACCTATCCGTTCCGAACATTGGCGATCATTCTGGCTATAATGATTTTATTGGTTGCTATACGAAATA